CAGATCAAACTCATTCATACTTTCCACATGTATGTGCTGCTCTTTTTCTTAGTCATCTAATTGATTTGACCCAAATTAAATCTATAAATGTGGCTGGTTATGCTTGGAATGTGTGTGGATGACCAGTCATTGCATACTTGTTAGAGGAAGCCTGCAAATGAGGCCATGTAAAACAAAACAGGAGCAGATCAACAGTTCGCTTACACTCGAAAAGCATTTTTAGAGTATTGCACAAGTTCTCCTCTGACAAACATACTTGCAATGTCCAATCTTGTTTCATTCAGTAAAAAAACAACCTCATATGATTCTGGAACAATGACACGTGGATGCATTGCTCTTCATCATCAAACGTTACACAATAAACCAGCCACTGGTTAGAAAGCTCATCTCCAGTATATAATGATATTCATAATTTTATTTTGGCTTCCTGCTATTCAGTACTCTCTATACTAGCGGCAGCATACTCATTCTCAAGGTGAATCAGCAAACAGTATTAATGACATGATCTCTGTCCACGGGCAAGCACTTCACAGGTAGGGTCCGTGTGTTGTGTTGGGTTCTGTAGGTGAACTGGGAGTTAAGGCGGCGGGTGGCCGTTGACCTTGTCCCGCAGGAGAGCAAGGGCATTGGTGGAGAAGTCTCGCAGGACGCTCACAGTCTCTCGCTGCATCTGCAAGGAGTCGCGTACAAACTCCTGCTGCGACTCCACCAGCTGCTGCACGGACTGGGCCAGGGCCCCCAGAGACCCTGACACGGCCCCTAGCAGGGCAGTAGTGGCCTGCTGCTCCTTGAGACTGAGGGAGGCACTGTGGGCTAGCTGCTTCCGGATTGCCCCCTGCCCCATGACTGACCCTGGAGAGGTGGAAGAGGAGGGAGGAGCAGGGAGACAGGAAGAGGGAGCTGGGAGGGAGGACGAGGAGGTAGCCATGGAAGAATACATAGCGGTGGAAGAGGCAGCGAATCTGGAGTAGGTGCGACGAGGCTCAGCAGGAGGGTGGAAGGAGCCCATGTGCCGCGGCACCTCTTCTAGGTCCTCGAATCCCAGACTGTTGTCTATGGGTAATACACAAACACAACGTGATTACACATAGATGCATAATTACACAGAAACATAGGTGCAAACACATTTACCAACAATAAAGCGAGAGAGAAATAGTTTTACCTTCATCGACTGGTGTCATGAATGAAAAATCATGAGATGAGTGAGAAGGATCCCCTAAAAGGACAATAATAAACAAATATGACAAAGAAGATAATAATAATAATAATAATAATAATCAATACAACATGTGAATAGAGTGTGTTGAGTGCATAAGTGTTGGGGAGAAAGAGCTCATGAGAAATGTTCTGAATACAGGAAAGACTCACGGCCAAATGGCATCTGAGAGAACATGCCAATATCTTTATCCAGAGTTGAGAAAGAAGAAATAGACGAGCCCATGCCGTGGGGGCTGGTGCCAGGCATAGCCATGTGATGAAGGCCAGCCATACCATTAGAGGTGCCTGAGGAGCGAGTCGACATCTCTGACATGTCACCAAAGTCATTCTCCTCAGGTTCATCATTCATACTGCCCATGGTGGCCTTGTTCGGAGGGGACATGGTTAGTATTTCGTGCACCATTTTCTCCACCGGTGACAGGTTCTGGGAGATACGGACACCATTAGGCCCTCGCATGGCCACAATCCTGCGCTTGGCATCGCACTTTAGGTCCGCCCACTTCTTGACAATCTCCATGACCTCCCGTTGGCACTCGCTGATTTTGTTGACGCGAATCGCGATTTCCGCCCATGTTCGCTTCCTCAGGTCTGATGAGGCGCCTTGGTTGAACTTGCCTGTGGTGGGTGACAAAGGCAGACAATAGCACTCCAAGGAATAAAAGGCAAGCAGAGAATATGAGACAAACAAATGCAAAGTGAACATATGTCTATTTTGAGTGCTTCATGCTGATCATGACCAAAGGCCTCAGACATTACCATGCATAAACTTCGTAAATTCTTGTAATTTGTGCCTACAGTACACACTGAGTGGAGGTACTTACTTACGAGGATGTGCCTGTTTCTTTTGACTTCAGTCAACAGCAGATGGACTTCATCGAAGGTGAAGCGTGACTTCCTTTTCTTCATGGGCAAGTTGCCCCCAAGTTCCTCTATTTCGCTATAGGTGAATTTGAAATTCATGTTGCACCCCTAACGGCCCTTGGCCTGTCCTGTTTACACGCCCAAGAGATAGCCACCTATACCTGAGAGGGCAACACCCCTGGCACTGCCAGCCTGCAGGAGAGAACTAAATGTAAAGCACACCACTGATAGGAATCCCTGTGTAAAACAAATATGTTCATGTTATAAGAGACTGTGTAACTCAGTTTGTAGAGCATGGTGCTTGCAACGCCAGGGTAGTGGGTTTAATTACCGGTACCACGCCTACATAAACATTTATGCACACATGACTAAGTTGCTATTGATAAAAGCGTCTGCTAAATGGCATACATTATTTATTATTATGCATATATTTTAGAATAAAGAAAATAGTGCATTGAATTTATAAAATGTTTTGGGGGAAGATTTTGTTCTGTGGGAAAATAATATCCCGTAATCAATGGGTGGACAAGGGATCCATCCCTGAGTGTGCCTAAAACATTACTTCTGTAATGCATCAACCTCTTTTTTAATTTTTTTTAATTGTACGCTAGACATACATTCCAGCAGCCAGGACACCATTAACATTGCCGAGAATACCTGACAACTGACATAATAGTAAATTGTAAAAAATAAAAATACAACTCTGCATGGGAATTAAATATGGGTACGTCTTTAAATTAACCATTTGTATAATTAGCAGCTTCAATCTTACGCTCTCTTGCTAGGCCAATGAGCATTATGCTTCCTGGTTCTTTGTTGAGCCCCCTTGTGTACTCTACGCTGAATCTAGCAAGCTACACTATTTTGCGGTACAACGAAGGCCAGTGTTTTCAACAACGGTAAACGTTCATCCTGCCATGCAACGAAGGGGACAAAATACCAATTTGAAAACGAACACAGATCTTTACCAATTTGTTGTGGATAAACTGATAAGGCAATAGCGAGCTTTTCCTATGCATTCTACCTAGCTAGCTACCATTTTGAAGGAACGTCGTCTAATTTCGGTCGCTAGCTAGCTGGCTAGCGAGCTAGCTAGGTCGTCCGCGTTTGATTGCAGATTGTTTATACATATCGAAACTTTAACTAGTTTAGTAATTAATCACCTTGGCAAAAGAGTTAGCAATAACAAATGTGAAGTTGTGATTCATTGGATATAGCAGGAATTACCAATAGTGACGAATGTTTTTTTTTCTCCTCTTGCAGTGCAGCTTCATAAACTTCGCACAGACGACGAGAAGAACGCTGAGTTGCGCAGACTCTGATCGCGCTTTTTCCATGACCTACAGGCGGCCACGAGCGCAACATTACGAAATCTTACCAGAATACGACTTTGGTATGATGCTAGGAATGGCCACGTTACAGTTCAACGTGCATCAATCATTTACATTTTAGTAATTTGGCAGACGCTCTTATCCAGAGCGACTTATAGTTAGTGCATACGTTATTTATTTTCATACTGGCCACCCGTGGGAATCGAACCCACAACCCTGGCGTTGCAAGCGCCATGCTCGACCAACTGAGCTACACGGGGCCCAATCAGTGCTACTATTGTTACAGAGTAACGTACTGTCATTGATTGAACGAGGACACACCCTGTGGTGACATTTCTCAACTCATGTTGCTACTAAAACACATAAATACTAGGCTACTTAATTATAAGAATATAGCATACACGAGCGGAAATCGGTCGCTAATCAATCTAAAACTAAGTAGGCGCTATGTCAATGATCCCACCTTTTCTTGGTTACAAGATACATGACTTGTTACTTAAATAGTGACATTGGGAACATGTCTAAATAAGTAAGGTCAGTGAAATTAAACGACCACGAAGGGACTCGAACCCTCAATCTTCTGATTCGAAGTCAGACGCCTTATCCATTAGGCCACGCGGTCTGTATAGACTACCATCGTCACTCTTAAGTTAAGGCTAGCTATGCAACAAAACCTACATATATTAACATAAAGAATCATGCATATTTTAAATGTGACATTCATTTAATGATTTATATACAGAATTACAATATCAGGCCATATTTATCTTGCATACAAAATGATATGAATTATTCAGTTTGAAGTTTGCAAATGAACACCACAACATCAGAGGGATGTAATAGGGGGAGGATGTGGATCTAGTCTACTTGATGTTATGACAATTAGGAAATTGTGTAATGGAAACCAAGTTTGACATCAGCTATATTGAAGTACTAATATAGTCTTAACCAAAACTCAAACATATCAATTGGTAAATACATTTAGATGTAAGTCCAGTTCATAATATCAACACAGCCTACATGGGCGAATGTCGTCTACCATTAAGAAACTGTTGAGTTAGATAAATAAAAACGGAAACTGAGCTATAAAGTGCATTTAAAAAAACGATTGTCATCATTGACAGGCAAACCTCATTAAAGTCTTCAAAGCAAAGCAGACACAGAATGTTGATTCCTTCCCATTTACTTTAGTCTGCCTGGTGACAACAAGCATAGCAACCCAATTCCACTGGTGCTTCGTTCTGCATCGAAAAAGGACTATGGAGCCAGATACCTGCCAAAAGGTTGAAAGTACGTATCATTAGGATCGTAAGAAAATCTATACCTAAATTGTTAGGATAAAAAGAAAAGCCATGCGTGAAACATGAAACGTAAACTTTAAAATAGATCTGTAAATGTAAACGCCTATGAATTAACATTTACACGTTCAATTCTTACTTTATGTCTCCCTTTACTCGGTTACAGATCTTTTTTATGTGTACACAGTTTTGTCAGTAATGTGGCATCTGCAAAGGACATGAACCGAATGTAGCTAGAATGTAGCTAGTCGAAGTTAGCTAGTCAATCAAGGAACTATAGCCCAGACATTAGAGTTGCTTTGCAGCTTCCAGTTTCATTTCCAGAATAAAAGTCTAGAGCTTGTTTTAGAACTGCATTCAATAACAACGTTATACTAGTAGATGACGTAGTATAGGCTTGGGCTTTCAGGAAATTACTTGTGTGAGAATGATAAAGACACAGAAGAGCCTTTTCTAGAATAACTGCCTGAGCTACAAAATAGAAAGTACATCTGATTTAGGCTAGGCCTATTCCGCTATCTAAATATGCCATGTTGTTGTGTGTTATTTAATGGCCATATAATTGCATAATTTATTTTTATAGCCATGTGGGTCTATTGTGGTGATCATGTAACCTATGGAATCACACTTTTTCCAGTATTTGGGAGCACGGGCTGTAGGCCTTACATTAGGCATTTTTACTGTTTTATTCGTGAATTCCACTCTGTATGTAGGCTTGTTATAGCCATTTGCGTTTCACAACCCCATCACGCAGAGGCTATATCCATATCAATAAATGAGACAAAACTAAATATTGATTAAGTCTTGGCTATAACCTGTCCTGAGCGAAATAGCCAAGGGGTCCCAAATGGTCAAGACTATCTATAACCTATTCTTATTGCCAGATCTGCTTTCCCTATCAGCCACTGCACGTGCTTCTTCAACTATTTTAACATTTATTTAGAGGCTATATTTAGAGGCCTGTGAGCTAGGGTTTATTTTTAAGGGGAGCCCTATACTAAAAACAGTTATAAAACACAAATAGAGTTCTAAAATTATTCCGCAAGACACCAGTACCCAAAATGATAACCTAAATTGCAATGCCTACAAGTTGAAGGCCTATTTTATATTTGGATAGGCCTACATTAAACATTGAATTATTAAAGTGATAGACTAAAGAACTCTGGAGATTTTAGATAATTTTGAATACAGATGGATTTAAATAAACAAATGGATAAGACTGTTCTATTCTCTTTGATTTAGTTCCTATTGCAGCTCAGACAAATGACTGAATGGATGACATACTGACTGACTGAACTGAATGAAGGATGAATTAAATGTTTAAATGACAAATTGCACGCATCATGCAGGCTCTGCACTTTATTTGGCTAGTAGGCAAATAGGCCTACATTAGGGTATAATGACTCTATGCCTCCAGAAGAGCATCTTCTGAGGCTGAGGGGTGCTTTTCCAAAGTCACATGGTGCTGCATGGAGATCACACGTTCTTCAACTGGGCAGCAGTGTCGCAATGGAGGGAATAGCCTATACGGAGACTACTTAAGACCACTGCAACAGAGTTATTGTAAAGTGTGGGAATAAGCTTATTTTACATTACATTTTAGTCATTTAGCAGACGCTCTTATCCAGAGCGACTTACAGTTAGTGAGTGCATACATTTTCATACTGGCCCCCCGTGGGAAACAAACCCACAACCCTGGCGTTGCAAGCGCCATGCTCTACCAACTGAGCCAGACTTAGCCTACACTTAACCTCGCTCTTGTTCATTTCAAAGTCCATATGTTCATGACCCGAATCATATAAATCATGCCAAATTATTTTAAATTCATATTAACCCCTCCTACAGAATATGCTTTGGCAAGATTTTGAGTGATTAAATAAATATTATTCTATGTTTCATTATTCCTGGTAGATACTACTGGTTATGATTGCAGACAGAGCCCAGAGAATGAGATGGTGCAATATTGAATTAGTCATATTTTGATAAGCTGCATGCATGGGGATGTCCACGTCACCCAGAGATATGCCCATGCTGTAGAGATACACCTAGCGGACTGAAACTTCACTGTTGTAGGCATAATACAGCTGGTGCTATCTAGACTTGCGCTGGCAAACAAATCCATTACATTAGCTACCTAATTGTGAAGTAAACTCAACTGAGGAGTAATAGAGAATGGAGACTTTTAACTTGAAAACGTGCAGGATACCTCTTTTTTTATATATACTGTGTTACGCTTGTTCGGGTAGCGCTCCTCACAGGCCGTTTGGTGTACGTTTTTTTTGTTGGTGAGATGGAACTGCCAAAACTCTGAAAGGTATTATTTTACGTCAGATTTGCAAGACAGGATTGGTTCAAGCTTAAAACTTTAGTCCGTAATCGTAACATGGTGTTTGTATGTTCACAGATGAAATTTCACGATTATGTTCATGTTTCACGCATGGCTTTTCTTACGATCCTAACAATTTACGTATGGATTTTCTTACGATTCTAACGATACGTACGTTTAATCTTTTGGCAGGTATCTGGCTCCATAGAGGACCAGAGGGAGGATAGTGGAGGATGGTGAAAGAGTGGAGGGGATATGTATCTCGTTTTTAGAAAACAATCTAGCCAACAGATGGCAGCAGTGTGCTCTCCAGGCTATCTGGCTACCAGTCTAGGTAGCCTTCCACTCTTTGTACTCTTCTTTGTCATGTGGCATGGAGTACAAAGAGTGGAATGTAATAGCTGAACAGAGACTGGCAAACAGGCTAGGGTTAATGTAGAGCCAGGTATGAATAATGGTGTGTACCCTGCTGGTCAGGCTTTATGATAAGGCATATAAGATCATTTGGCAGATTTTCTATGTGGGTGGATGGTCACTGGACGCATATTGGCACAGAAAGACAGGGAGTAGATAAGATCACACAGCGGAGAAGGACAATCTTCCTCTTTATCTCTTCATTAGATTGTTCGCTTTCTGATTGGCAGCATCGATGCGGGATACATTGAGAATGGCCTGTAAAAACAACACATTAGATGAATGTTCAATACAGAATTGGTCATCTATTTTTATTGAATAAATAGCTGTATGGCAGGTACTATAGGACTGACCTTGCCCTGAATGCGGTCAATCTGGACATTCTGCGTGTCGATCTCATTGCCCATGTCCAGTGCCATGCTCTTCAGGTTGCCTATGATGCTGCCTACATGTCCCAGATTCTCCTCCATCTCATCTTCGCGTGCATCATTTGTTACCCTGACAGAAAGTCAGACAGAAACACAGATAAAGAGAAAACACAATTTGTAGTCAATTTGTACATTTAGCAAAAGTTTCATTAAATTGTTGTTTTTGGAAGGCGTGCTCTCCCTGCATCCAGGGAGGGGCATAGGTTTTTACAAATGACCTCTGTTTGGTCAGGTGCTCCTACCGCACATGACAGGTGACTGGTTCTACATGTCAATGTGTTATAGACGAGAGTAAATATCCCCCGGCTGCCACACACAGCCTCTGTTATGTATACAATCCTAGGAGCTATAAATGAGCAAGTAGTAGTTGTAGGGATTCAAACCTGTTTTGAGCAGAGCTGGATTATCTCAAAGCAATGCAATGGCCAAATTCATCAGAAAATATTTGTAAACCAACAAATATGTGCAGGATGCATCAGAGTTCAGGGTTTTTTCTCGATCAAAAAGAGGCTTAGGTGGTTGGTGTGGCAGGTCGTGGCAATGGGCGCGGTCAGCCTATAGTTCAAAGCCCTGGAAATAATTTTTATTAGGCCATCTTGGCGGCAGAAAGGATTTAGGTGTTTTAAAGCCAATTTCCAGCAATTCTACACATTTATCCATGGAGCTGAGAGACATTTTGCAGTTTCAAAGCACATTTTTGTGTTCTTATGCTCAAACATTACAACGAAATCTAAATTCCTGAATTCATCATTTTTGTCTATCTTTCATTTAAGCGATTGATAGTTATCAAATATTGAAAAATATATAGGTCTATTATCTGTTCTACATACTTTATATCTGGTTTCAGTCGTTTAAGTTAACACTGAAAGCGTTTTTCCATCCCGAAAATGTATTAAAATAAATTAAATAAAAATTTCATTTTTGTATATACAGTTGAAGTCGGAAGTTTACATACACCTTAGCCAGATACATTTAAACTCACTGTTTCACAATTCCTGACATTTAATCCTAGTAAAAATTCCCTGTCTTAGGTCAGTTAGGATCACCACTTTATTTAAAAATGTGAAATGTCCGAATAATAGTAGAGAGAATGATTTATTTCACCTTTTATTTCTTTCATCACATTCCCAGTGGGTCAGAAGTTTACATACACTCAATTAGTATTTGGTAAAATTCCCTTTAAATTGTTTAACTTATGTCAAACATTTTGAGTAGCCTTCCATAAGCTTCCCACAATAAGTTGGGTGAATTTTGGTCAGGTTTGTAGGCCTCCTGGCTCACACATGCTTTTATAGCGGTTTTGGAGCAGTGGCTTCTTCCTTGCTGAGCGGCCTTTCAGGTAATGTCGATATAGGACTCGTTTTACTGTGGATATAGATACTTTTGTACCTGTTTCCGCCAGCATCTTCAGAAAGTCCTTTGCTGTTGTTCTGGGATTGATTGGCACTTTTCGTACCAAAGTACGTTCATCTCTATGAGACAGAACGCGTCTCCTTCCTGAGAGGTATGACGGCTGCGTGGTCCCATTGTCACGCCCTGACATTGAGATCTCTAGTTGGGTTGGTCAGGGTGTGAAATCTAATTTATATATTTCTATGTTGGCCGGGTGTGGTTCCCAATCAGAGGCAGCTGTCGGTCATTGTCTCTGATTGGGGAACATACTTAGGCAGCTATGTTGCCTACCTTAGTTGTGGGATCTGTTTCTGTTTGGCTTGTTTGATGTTTAGCCTCTTGAACTTCATGTTATGTTGGATTTTTGTTATTTTGTCGGTGTTTATTAAAATAAAAGACTATGTACGCATACCACGCTGCACCTTGTTCCGATCCTTTACACAACGAACGTGACAGAAGATCCCACCACCAACGCACCAAGCAGCGTGAACAGGAGGAGCAGACATCATGGACATGGGAGGAGATATTAGACGGAAAAGGATCATGGACGTGGGAAGAGATCCAGGCAGGTATGGATTGCCTTCCTTGGGAGCAGACGGAGGCAGCGAGGGAGAAAAAAGGGCGACTCAAAAGGTCCCGATCACGAAGGAAGCCCGAGAGGTAGCCCCAAGAAAAAAAATTGGGGGGGCACACGGGGTGGTTGGCGACGCAGCAGGAGGCCCTGAAAGGGCTGACTGTGAAAGAGGAGAGAGCTATAGAGGAGGCCACTCTGAAGATGGAGGCCCTCCAAGCAGCTAAAGACCTGCAGCTCAGCACTCTGAGAGAGGAGGCCACCACCTTACAGGAGCTGTAAGTTAAGAGGGAGCAGGAGCTCTCCCTTCAGAAGGAGGCGCTGCAGGAGGCCCACAGGGAGAAGGAGTCAGTGGATGCACGGAGAGAGGAGCTGGCCAGGCAACAGGAGGAGCTGAGAGAGGAGTTAACCCTCCAGCAGCAGAGAGCTCGGTCCTTAGAGCAGAAGCTGGCGGAGCCAGGTTTAACAGAGCCAACTCCTCGCACTCGCTTTGAGGAGCGGGTGACCGTGCAGGCACCAGGCTATGCGCCGGCTTTATGCACTGTGCCGCCAGTGCGCCTTCACAGACCGGTACGGCCCGTGACTGATCCTCGCACCAAACCAGTGGTGCGTGTCTCCAGTCCGGTGCGCCCCGTACCTGCGCCTCGCACCAAACCAGTGGTGCGTGTCCACAGCCCGGTACGGCCCATACCTGCTCCTCGCACCAAACCAGTGGTGCGTGTCTCCAGTCCGGTACGGCCCGTACCTGCTCCTCTCACCAAACCAGTGGTGTGTGTCCACAGCCCAGTGTGTCATGTGCCAGCGCCCCGCACTTGCCGGGCTCCAGTGATGATCCATGGCACGAAGCCTCCAGTGATGATCCATGGCCCGAAGCCTCCAGTGATGATCCATGGCACAAAGCCTCCAGTGATGATCCATGGCACGAAGCCTCCAGTGATGATCCATGGCACGAAGCCTCCAGTGATGATCCATGGCACAAAGCCTCCAGTGATGATCCATGGCATGAAGCCTCCAGTGATGATCCATGGCACGAAGCCTCCTGTGATGATCCATGGCACGAAGACTCCAGTGATGGTCCATGGCCCGGAGCCTCCTGCGACGGTCTGCAGTCCAGAGCCTCCAGCGACAGTCTGCAGTCCAGAGTCTCCAGCTCCGGTCAGCTGCTTTACTCCAGTGCCAGAGCAGTCCGCTCCACCGGTGCCTAGTCCAGCTCCGGTCAGCTGCTCCACTCCAGTGCCAGAGCAGTCCGCTCCACCGGTGCATAGTCCAACTCCGGTCAGCTGCTTCACTCCAGTGCCAGAGCAGTCCGCTCCACCGGTGCCTAGTCCAGCTCCGGTCAGCTGCTCCACTCCAGTGCCAGAGCAGTCCGCTCCACCGGTGCCAACTCCAGCTCCGGGGGATTACTGTCATGCCCTGACATTGAGATCTCTAGTTGGGTTGGTCAGGGTGTGAAATCTAATTTATATATTTCTATGTTGGCCGGGTGTGGTTACCAATCAGAGGCAGCTGTCGGTCGTTGTCTCTGATTGGGGATCATACTTAGGCAGCTATGTTGCCTACCTTAGTTGTGGGATCTTGTTTCTGTTTGGCTCGTTTGATGTTTAGCCTCTTGAACTTCACGTTCTGTTGGATTTTTTTTATTTTGTCGGTGTTTATTAAAATAAACGACTATGTACGCATACCATGCTGCACCTTGGTCCGACCCTTTACACAACGAACGTGACACCATTGTTTTTTTTAATTTTTTTAATTTCACCTTTATTTAACCAGGTAAGCCAGTTGAGAACAGGTTCTCATTTACAACTGCGACCTGGCCAAGATAAAGCAAAGTAGTGCAATAAAAACAACACAGAGTTACATATGGGGTAAGAAACATAAAGTCAGAAATACAACAGAAAATATATATACAGTGTGTGCAAATGTAGCAAGTTATGGAGGTAAGGCAATAAATAGGCTATAGTACAGATCAACGTGGTACCTTCAGGAGTTTGGAACTTGCTCCCAAGGATGAACCAGACTTGTGGAGATCTACAATTGTTTTTCTGAGGTCTTGGCTGATTTATTTTGATTTTCCCATGATGTCAAGCAAAGAGGCACTTAGTTTGAAGGTAGGTGTCACGATCGTCGACTGAAGACACGGACCAAGGAGCAGCGTGATAAGCGTACATTTTATTTGTTCTCAACACACGATCAAAACAACAAACCAAACGATACGTGAAGTCCTAGGTTAACACCAAAACAAACCTTACGGAACAAGATCCCACAAATACTAGTGCAACACAGGCTGCCTAAGTATGGTCCCCAATCAGAGACAACGAGCTACAGCTGCCTCTGATTGGGAACCACCCTGGCAAACATAGATCTAAACGATCTAGAACGAACATAGAAAAACTAAACATAGAAAAATCCACACCCTGGCTCAACCTTTAAGAGTCCCCAGAGCCAGGGCGCGACAGTACCCCCCCCCCCCCCCCCCCCCCCAAAGGCACGGACTGCGACCGCGCCACACAAACACAAGAGGGTAGGGGCCGGGTGGGCATTCCGCCTCGGAGGCGGATCCGGGCGTGACCACCACTCTCTCTCCACCCCCCCCGTTGCGCCCCTGATCTGGTCTGGCCCCGCTGGCCGGAGCTGGACTGGACACCGGTGGAGCGGATTGCTCTGGCTCCGGAGTGGAGCAGCTGACCGGTGCCGGACCAGGCACCGGTGGAACAGGCACGGGCTGTGCCGGACTGGACACACGCACCACTGGCTTGGTGCGGGGAGCAGGAACAGGCCGGACCGGGCTGACGACGCGCACCACTGCCTTGGTGCGGGGAGCAGGAACGGGCCGGACCGGGCTGACGACGCGCACCACTGGCTTGGTGCGGGGAGCAGGAACGGGCCGGACCGGGCTGACGACGCGCACCACTGGCCTGGTGCGGGGAGCAGGGACGGGCCGGACCGGGCTGACGACACGCACCACTGGCTTGGTGCGGGGAGCAGGAACGGGCCGGACCGGGCTGACGACGCACACCACTGGTTTGGTGCGAGGGGCAGGAACAGGCTGGACCGGGCTGGCGACGTGCACCACTGGTTTGGTGCGAGGGGCAGGAACAGGCCGGACCGGGCTGGAGACGCGCACCACAGGCTTGGTGCGAGGGACAGGAACAGGCCGGACCGGGCTGGCGACGCGCACCACTGGCTTGGTGCGAGGGGCAGGAACAGGCTGGACCGGGCTGGCGACGCGCACCACAGGCTTAGTGCGGGGAGCAGGAACGGGCCGGACCGTACTGGGAACACACACCACTGGCCTTGTGCGGGAATCAGGAACGGGCCGGACCGGTGACACACACCACTTGCTTGGTGCGAGGAGCGGGACTGGGTTTCCTTCTAAACCTCCGCTCCCTCTGCTGCCTAACCAGTTCCTCTCGCCGTGCCTCTACACTCTCTCTCTCCCTCATGACCAATAGCCCCCGTAACCTGGTGGCCTCCTCTCCTAGTCCGCAGATTCGTCCTGTAGCTGCCTCCTGCTGCCCCGTCATCCACGCCGTGTGCCCCCCCAAAAATGTTTATTGGGGTTGCCTCTCGTGTGTCCGTCGTCGGTGCGGTTGGCGCCTTTTCTCCTCTCCTGCCTGGGCATTTACCTTTGCCCATGGCCCTCTGCCCGCGAAGATCTCCTCCCAAGACCACCATTTGCCCACCTGCGACATCGCCATCTTCTCCTCCTGGGCACGCTGCTTGGTCCTCTTATGGTGGGATCTTCTGTCACGATCGTCGACTGAAGACACGGACCAAGGCGCAGCGTGATAAGCGTACATTTTATTTGTTCTCAACACACGATCAAAACAACAAACCAAACGATACGTGAAGTCCTAGGTTAACACCAAAACAAACCTTACGGAACAAGATCCCACAAATACTAGTGCAACACAGGCTGCCTAAGTATGGTCCCCAATCAGAGACAACGAGCTACAGCTGCCTCTGATTGGGAACCACCCTGGCCAACATAGATCTAAACGATCTAGAACGAAAACATAGAAAAACTAAACATAGAAAAATCCACACCCTGGCTCAACCTTTAAGAGTCCCCAGAGCCAGGGTGTGACAGTAGGCCTTGAAATACATCTACAGGTACACCTCAAATTGCCTCAGATGATGTCAATTAGCCTATCAGAAGCTTCTAAAGCCATGACAGCATTTTCTGGAATTTTCCAAGCTGTTTAAAGGCACAGTCAACTTAGTGTATGTAAACTTCTGACCCACTGGAATTGTGATACAGTGAATTATAAGTGAAATAATTTGTCTGTAAACAATTGTTGGAAAAATTACTTGTGTCATGCACAAAACTATGTCTTGTCAAAACTATAGTTTGTTAAGAAGAAATTTGTGGAGTGGTTGAAAAACTAGTTTTAATGACTCCAACCTAAGTGTATGTAAACTTCCGACTTCAACTGTATATATTTTTTTACGCTGTTTGGAATTAGCGGCCCCCAAAAAACGCTTAGGCGGCCCGCCCAAAACTGTTCTGTGCAAAAAAATAGTGGAATTATTAGACCATATCCATAATGGTGTGATATAGGCCTACTGTATGTGTGTGCAATAGTTAGAGCACGTGCACGTCTTTGAGTGTATTCCATTGGTTGGGATTTGTTGCCTTGCTATTGGGTTTGTCATGCCTTTGACCATTATTACTTGCGTATGTAGCCTCCGCTCATGATCATCTGCTCTCTCTCATCCACTACGCGTGAAGATGGCTGGCCGGACACCACCCCATCCTGGTTGTTCCCCCACACCTTCTTATAGGCCCCACTCTCCTCAAAGTCCTTCAGCCTATGCAGAGGCAACAGTCACAGACAGGACAGAGCACATCACACAGCCATACACACAAAGCTTCATATCACAGTACATTGTGTTAACTCAGAGTACAACAAAGGGTCACCTGCATGAAATAAACAAAATTCCTGATCTAAGCCCTGACATGTTGAAGAAGGAATGAAGAGACAAGCCAAGCAAGCAGGAGTCATAGGCGCGGCAACTGGCAAACAAAGTGTAAAGACTGGCACACAGACATGCACATTAATACTTGAGGAAGGAACCATGTATGTAACCACGGGGGCCCCTCAGGGGTGCGTGCTCAGTCCCCTCCTGTACTCCCTGTTCACCCATGACTGCATGGCCAGGCACGACTCCAACACCATCATTAAGTTTGCCGACGACACAACAGTGGTAGGCCTGATCACCGACAACGATGAGACAGCCTATAGGGAGGAGGTCAGAGAACTGGCTGTGTTGTGCCAGGATAACAACCTCTCCCTCAACGTGATCAAGACAAAGGAGATGATTCTGGACTACAGGGGAAAAAAAGAGGACTGAGCACGCCCCCATTCTCATCGACGGGGCTGTAGTGGAACAGGTTGAGAGCTTCAAGTTCCTTGGTGTCCACATCACCAAAACACTATCTTGGTCCAAACACACCAAGACAGTCGTGAAGAGGGCACGGCAAAGCCTATTCCCCCTCAGGAGGGAGTTATACAGCTGCACCATCGACAGCATCCTGACTGGTTGCATCACTGCCTGGTATGGCAACTGCTCGGCCTCCGACCGCAAGGCACTACAGAGGGTAGTGCGTACTGCCCAGTACATCACTGGGGCCAAGCTTCCTGCCATCCAGGACCTCTATACCAGGCGGTGTCAGAGGAAGACCCTAAAAATTGTAAAAGACTCCAGCCACCCTAGTCATAGACTGTTCTCTCTGCTACCACACGGCAAGCGGTACCGGAGCGCCAAGTCTAGGTCCAAAATGCTTCTTAACAGCTTCTACCCCTAAGCCATAATACTCCTGAACAGCTAATCAAATGGCTACCCGGACTATTTGCATTGTCCCCCCACCTCAATTACCTCAACTAACCTGTGCCCCCGCACATTGTCTCTGTACCGGTACCCCCTGTATATAGCCTCGCTACTGTTATTTTACTGCTTCTCTTTAATTATTTCTTTTTTACTTATCTATTTTTTACTTAACCATTTTTTCGTAAAACTGCATTGTTGGTTAAGGGCTTGTAAGTAAGCGTTTCACCTGTTGTATTCAACGCATGTGACAAATAACATTTGATTTGATGTATTCCCCATCTGCTCCTGACACTCATGACCCCTCCCAACAGCCAACACCTACTTATCACAGGAGCACAGACCGCAGCATTTGCCCAGGTCTGTTAGGTTCTTCTCAGCCTCCTTCATATCTGAGTTGATCTGGTCCAGGCCCTCCTCAATCCGCTCCAGTTGCTCTGGACAACGCAAAACGTGAGGGAAGGGTAGGAATGGGAGAGGTGGAGGAAAGTGGGAGAGAATGGGGGAGAACGTAATATAACACAAAACTGTTCTATCACCAAAGCCCCCAACTGACAAATGAAAGCCAGCGGTCAAACATAATGCAATTGTGCAAATATGGTATGTGCAAACCCAAAAACTGAGAACAGGACACAAATTATTTAATAATGGTACACACAAGTCCATAAAATGCCTGGTATTGTGTGAGTAGAAGATGTACTGTTTGTAAAATAGAAATGTTTTGGGACATGACCATCATTTTCTTGTGGTTAACTTTGCTGCAGACTTCTAGTCACCCAATCTCATGATGGAACAAAACAAAAAAACACACAATTTGAATCATGGCCTGGAGCAGAGGCCGGATGGATGGACACACAGACTGTCTGGTTGCCGGTTGGCCTGACGGGCACTCAGGTGACACACAGATGACAGGTGTCCTCAGAGCAGGGCACACCTACTTGATGCGGGGCCAGACACACAGGCCACAACATTTGGCCATGTCAGTCAGGTTTTTCTCAGCCTCTTTCATATCCTTGTTGATTTGATCCATCCCCACATCGATGCGGTCCAGTTGCTCTGCCCATATGTGGCAGGTCGGTAGCATGAGGATGGGTAGATGGGAGAGACACAGGAGGGAACACACACATCCAGTATATACACACACAAGCAGACACACACATAGCCTACACACATCTAGTATACTGACAAAAACATGAGCACCCACTTATGGATATACATACAAGGACCATCTGAGGTTGCTGTTGTACGATTGACATTGATGTTGTGTCCACATCTTCCAAAGAGAGAAAATGATTATATTACGTCCATTTCATTACCTCCTTGTTCGTCCAGCATGACCAGGGCCCGGATTCCTGAATCTTTGCTCTGTTGAGATCAGAAATGGCATTAGATTAGATTCACCATTATGTTGCTAATGTTCATGATTTTGCATTTCAACTGAATCAAATGAAGACTCTTCAGTTAAAAGACTGAATGAAGTTCATTATCAATAGGCTGCCAAAAAAATCAACTAGAGGTAATGTGATTATAATAACAATGATGTGTCATTATTAGGGCTTGGTTAACAGAAGCACAGAGTGGTAGGTAAAGAGACTCCCATACTTCCTCTACTAGCTGCATCATACGACGGGTACTCTCCAGGGACTGGATGAGGAGGGACAGAGAGACATGACACCATTAGAGGATTAAGTTACCTTAGATACAGTACTAAAAACATTTCAAGTCCTGAGGGTGAGGCTGAAAAACTGTCCACTTCCACAGATGAAAGGCACTAATCAAGATCACTCAGTGTGAATCATCTTTAATATTATACATGTTGCACTGTCTTAGGGCTCTATCTTTATAGCTACAACAGTGTTTGTATTGGCCAAATATGGAACAGTAAACAAATCACAACACTATTCTCTCTGTGAAAGTATTTCCATTGGTGATCAATCTTTTCATAGAACTGCTATGGAGATCGAAACATCCCGTAACTGATCTAATGGCCTGTTATATTTCCACACAACAAGGGTCAGGCTTTGGCGATAAACAAACAGACTCATTTCAGTGGTCTGTGTGCCAATAATGTGTTTGTACAGAAAGCTGGGGCCTTTCTCCAGGGTATTTCCTGATGCTGAGGTAATTGGACTGGGAAATTGCTGTGATGTGCAGTAAGTAACCTTTACCCAAGGGGAAACCCACTGGGAGAGAGGCTTAGGGTGATGTCACTGTGTAATCTCTCTGAATGTTGCAACTCTGAAAACAATGCCCGGGTATGGCAGGTAACCTTTTCTATAGCTCCTGGCATGATTTACCCTTTATCAAGGGGGGGGGGGGGGGGGGGACATTGTGTATTGATCTTAAAAAGTGCAACTGAACCTTCTGCTGTTGATATTTCAAAGTTAAAGAAGTTAGTGCTCTTTAGACGATATGTGACATTACCTCATCTGTCACCTGGTTGGCCCTCCTCTGCAGCTCCTCCTGCTCTGTCCTCACGGGCGTGTCGGCAGCCATCTTGCCTGACATCTGCAGCAGCCGCGGGAGGACAGCACAGTCTGTCTGTTTTGCTCAGTAGCCTCTTTTCCAAGAGGCAAGGCTAGTGCATTAGGTGGCTTTGACACCAGTCCTGGTAAAGACAATAAAAACAGTGCAACAGCACAGAGCTCTTTATTGACCGTTTTTGTAGAGAGTACAGGAATTAGAAAATCTAGGCAGTATCATCCATAAACTCTGACATGGTAACCCTAAACCCAGTAATGTGGTTTATCATTGACTCAGGAAGGGCATGCCAAGAGCTGAATGAAATTTCCTCTCTAATTATCCATTGCTCTTTGAGTGAGCTTGAGGACATGGAACAATACTATTAAGGAAACATGGGATCAATCATGATTTCAACTTTATCTGTTGGTTCAACTCTGTGGCTACACAGCCTTTCTCTTGAGCGCCATTGGAGCCCCATAGTTCTGAAAAGATGAACATTTGCACCTGGCATGTCAGTTTGATTACTGAATGTTCTACCCGGCTTGTTTACTTCTCACCCCTCCCCATCCCCACTCGACTCTGTCCCTCTACTGCCTATCCTTTCAGATCATATTCCATTCACTGCTTAAACACAATTAGTGTCTATTTCACAAAACCTCTCTTGTTCCTCAGACTCTCACACCTACTCTCCTTCCATTCCGTTGTGAGGGAGTCGAGGTGACAGTGCACCATGCAGCAGCATGACAGTGCACCATCCAGCAGCATCCTTATAATTACCATTAATAATAATTATAATATTTATTAATCACCACCTGCCCTCACCCAGGCAACCCGCTGAGAGACAAGAGGAGAGGGAAGAGAAAGAAATGGAGTGAGAAAAAGAGGGAGAGAGGTGGGGGAGGAAGAAAGACCGAAGGAAAGAAAAGCGACGACCGGAACTAATAACAGTATGTTTTGTCTGGGAATGAACGGCTGCAAAGATTGTGACACGTATTGTATATATGACGACGGTTAGAAGTTGTTGTGTAAGGAGGCCCACAGGAAAAGCTGGTTTTCTGGGGAGTCACACCTGGAATTAAACTTTGGGAACTTAATTGCCGAAGAAAAACCAGAGCTGTTTTATCTCAATGCAGATTCCCTGTCTGCTGCCCTTGATTCAATGAGCACTGTATCTGCTATACCAGATAGACAGATGAGTGAGACATATCTTAACCAAAGGCTTCCTGTTGCACTCCTACTGCCCCACCTACGCATCACATCGTTGTTGGTCATGACAGCCATTTCCACAACTCATGAGGGAGACATATAACAGGGTTGCTTATCTTTCAGACACAGAACTTACTCTATTTAAAAAGCTGTTAAGTATTGTGTGCAACATGTGCCTGTTTTTGTATGCTTAAATAGAAGAACAGAATGAATATAAAAGAAAGGTCACAGTCGTAAACAATACAGTTATATGACAATCAGAGGTAGTTAGTTAGGGTGTTCTCATAACACGTTTGAGGAATGAATAAAACTGAAGGATTTAAATGAGACGAGCATGCTGATTCATAGCTTAGCCATGGGGAAAATTGGTACCTTGGGGAGGGCATGTTTTTTATGCATTTTAAAAGGCTGATTAAGTGGTGGTGTAGGTTGTATTATTATCTTCCATGAGTGCACAGTTGCTTGAGGAAGTGCAAGTTATCATACCACCCACCAACACCCCTGTAACCTACACCAAAGGAGACCCCTGGCCATGCTCTATAAACTGAGCGACCACTATGGATGCATAGCCCATGTACATTACCTAACCAATGCCTGATCTATCTGAAGGGACATATCTGAATATCTAATTTCCCTCAAATTCAACAGACGACAAACTTGTGAAAGTATCATACAGTATCTGATTCTGATCACAAAGTGTATCGTGTGTAGTTTGTTTGACAACGCGTGTTTGCCAACACGCTCAGAGAGATATATTAATCTAACGTTAACCTGCTGTAAATGTCAACCTGCATGGCCCCTGAAAAGGGCAGAGATGATTGTTCACAGCAGGACTTGTTTTCTGACATCATGGGTCATGGTTACCCACTGAAGAGGACTGCCATGTGGAGGGAGCATTGAGAACGCTATGCCACAATAATTACCACTGATGAGTACACACCATTCATTGTACACCCCCACTAGAATAATAATCTACCCCCTACACTAAAACACTAAAAAGAGAATATTATGTTATCAAAACATGTTTTCAAGAAGAGCATTGATAGCCTTATGAAGGACTGGGGGCACTAAAAGGCATGGGAGGATTCAGCAACATTGTGTTTTGGCGAGACCTATTATTGCAATGTTTACATAGTATCAGGTAACATGCATGTTCGTTTACATCAAGACTAGATACAAATATTTTTGATTTTCTATATAACTTTCACAAACTTATCAAACATGGATTTAGCCATACTTTGTCGTAACTATTTTAGGCTATAAATAAATAGATAAACATTGTCGATGCGATAGGTCAAGCTTAGCCTCCACATAGCCGATATTATAATATAAAAAGCACCCAAAACTTAAGCCTACGTCTATAACGTGATAAACACAGTTAAAACACTTCTAAACTTACCTTTAACTTAAATGAGTGGTCGTGTTTGCCTCGACTTTCCCATCAATCCACTTGAACATCCGTCAGCTGTTTGTTCATTGATCTACACGGTCCCTCAGCATCATCTCGGAGGTTTTGTTCCTTTCTTCCAGGTCCGCTCTGCCCCCAGGTAAGTCCGATGTCACGCCCCTGATTACCATCCGCTCACCCAATTGGTGGCTCTGTCTTCGACGTTACACCCCGGCGAGGGGTCTCTCATTTTATTGGCTCTACTCCAAGTCCTTCCTCCTGAATCACGCCCCTTTGAACAGCCGCTCTCTCGTTGCTCTGGAAACAGCCCGGTACCTGTGCACGTCATCAGCGCTGTTCTTCTGTGTGCTTCTCCTTTTCCCCATGCAGTGTGTAAATAAAGTTAATAGGCAGCCAAGATTAGGCTATTAGTCGACAGAGGTGGAAGTTAAGAGTGGTGCTGATGAGTAACTGAATAACAATCAACTTTATTATTGACTTGGTTTGTAAAAGTCAGTCAAATAACTACAATAAAACAAAAATATTAAAGTTATTTACAAACATATGAGAGAACATTTCTTTAATTAGCAAAAGCAGAACATTTAGAAATTGTAATAAATGAGACAGCTGCGAGTATTAGGAAATATTGCCCCTTTATTGAGCACTAGAATGTATATATTACATTACATTACATAGCAGTATGGAATGTTTGACCAAAAGTGTGTTGCCGGAAAAAACGAAAACACAAAACTTTACTTTCCAATATTTTGAATATAGAAAGGTAAGTGAGTTTGGCCTATTGGACAGAGAGTGGATTTGTGCTTTCCTGGTGTTGCTGCAATGCTGCCATCTAGTGATAAATTGAATGAACATTGATGACATTGATGTATGAACGTTTGTATACAATAATAACAATGGTAATATGAAATACAAATCTTAAATGAGAGAGAGATTCATGAAGAGATTCAAGTAGGCTTTTTGTAGGCTTTCCTTTATGTTTTATGAGTACATGGTCAACTGAAGCCACTGCGGAGAAAGCAAAAGACAATAAATAAGAGGTGTGGTTATTTAGGTCTAATTTCAGTGCCTATATCCAGTCATTCATCTTAAAAATGGTCCCTAACCCTAAACACACCATTTATATTCAAAGAGCAAATAGTGAAAACGAATTTACCTCCTTGATGTTGACTTTGATACTTCCATTATCATCTTTGTCCAGAGTCTTGAAAGCTCCTGAAAATGCACAAAACACTATTACTGAAGGGTAATGAAAAGAAAATAGTCTGAAATCAAGAACATAATCGGACTGAGCAGGGGAATATTGAGGATGAGTCACTTACGACACATGGCGTCCAGTCTCACCAGGCACCCAATGAAGTTGTCAAAGTCCATGTTGCCCTGTTCGTCACTGTACCTGCGGCCGATCAACTGGAATAGTTGGTCGTTGAGAGGGAAGCCTGCACACGGACATAACAGAGGAGAGACACCAATGTGACCAAACACACACAGTGGGGAGAACAAGTATTTGATACACTGCCTATTTTGCAGGTTTTCCTACTTACAAAGCATGTAGAGGTCTGTAATTTTTATCATAGGTACACTTCAACTGTGAGAGACAGAATCTAAAACAAAAATCCAGAAAATCACATTGTATGATTTTTAAGTAATTAATTGGCATTTTATTGCATGACATAAGTATTTGATCGCCTACCAACCAGTAAGAATTCCGGCTCTCACAGACCTGTTAGTTTTTCTTTAAGAAGCCCTCCTGTTCTCCACTCATTACCTGTATTAACTGCACCTGTTTGAACTCGTTACCTGTATAATAGACACCTGTCCACACACTCAATCAAACAGACACCAACCTCTCCACAATGGCCAAGACCAGAGAGCTGTGTAAGGACATCAGGGATAAAAGTGGAGACCTGCACAAGGCTGGGATGGGCTACAGGACAATAGGCAAGCAGCTTGGTGAGAAGGCAACAACTGTTGGCGCAATTATTAGAAAATGGAAGAAGTCCAAGATGACGGTCAATCACCCTCGTTCTGGGGCTCCATGCAAGATCTCATCTCGTGGGGCATCAATGATCATGAGGAAGGTGAGGGATCAGCCCAGAACTACACAGCAGGACCTGGTCAATGACCTGAAGAGAGCTGGGACCACAGTCTCAAAGAAAACCATTAGTAACACACTACGCCGTCATGGATTAAAATCCTGCAGCGAACGCAAGGTCCCCCTGCTCAAGCCAGCGCATGTCCAGGCCCGTCTGAAGTTTGCCAATGACCATCAGGATGATCCAGAGGAGGAATGGGAGAAGGTCATGTGGTCTGATGAGACAAAAATAGAGCTTTTTGGTCTAAACTCCACTCGCCTTGTTTGGAGGAAGAAGAAGGATGAGTACAACCCCAAGAACACCATCCCAACCGTGAAGCATGGAGATGGAAACATCATTCTTTGGGGATGCTTTTCTGCAAAGGGGACAGGACGACTGCACCGTATTGAAGGGAGGATGGATGGGGCCATGTATCTCGAGATCTTGGCCAACAACCTCCTTCCCTCAGTAAGAGCATTGAAGATGGGTCGTGGTTGGGTCTTCCAGCATGACAACGACCCGAAACACACAGCCAGGGCAACTAAGGAGTGGCTCCGTAAGAAGCATCTCAAGGTCCTGGAGTGGCCTAGCCAGTCTGCAGACCTGAACCCAATAGAAAATCTTCGGAGGGAGCTAAAAGTCCGTATTGCCCAGCGACAGCCCCGAAACCTGAAGGATCTGGAGAAGGTCTGTATGGAGGAGTGGGCCAAAATCCCTGCTGCAGTGTGTGCAAACCTGGTCAAGACCTACAGGAAACGTATGATCTCTGTAATTGCAAACAAAGGTTTCTGTACCAAATATTAAGTTCTGCTTTTCTGCTGTATCAAATACTTATGTCATGCAATAAAATGCCAATTAATTACTTAAAAATCATACAATGTGATTTTCTGGATTTTTGTTTTAGATTCCGTCTCTCACAGTTGAAGTGTACCTATGATAAAAATGACAGACCTCTACATGCTTTGTAAGTAGGAAAACCTACAAAATCGGCAGTGTATCAAATACTTGTTCTCCCCACTGTATATGCAGGAACAAGCTAGCTTTCATCAGCTGTCATGGCTGTTTGTTGTCAATATTATGACACTGTTATAAGGGCCTTATGATGACAAAGAAATATGCAATTCCATGTTCCGGTTCTCATGATCTCTGAGCTCACCTGCAGCTCTGAAGGCAGCGGGAAGCTCTTGTGAGGAGATGAGCCCTGAGCGGTCTGCGTCATTTGATATGTAGATGCCCTGAATCAGAGCGGAAATAAGGTTACACCGAGAGGTCAAAGTTCATAGCACCTTTTATTAAGAATGTATTAACATGACATTTATAAACAACATTCTTACAGTAGTGGAGTAAGAGGACTATTGGAAGTTGTAGGTGGTGTTATATGAATGCCTTGCAAATACATGTAAATAATTTCTAGTTCAAGGCAAACGTTTCACAGAAATGTCCATGATGTAACCCAATTGTTGATATACAGTGCTGATTGTCAAAAATGTAACAAGAGGACTGAACTCACCTGCCATTTCTTGATGTTGTTCCATAAATACTTGAACTCATGGAAACCTAGCTTTCCTGTGCTGTCGCTCTGTGTGTTCAGGGTTAAGGTAAAACTTAATATCAACTACTCTGATAGTAGTGTCAGCTTAGTATAGTATAGTGTAGTGTAGTGTAGTATAGTCCTCCATCCTAATACAGACTCTGATGTGGAAGGATACGTCCATGACAGCCACCATGCTCCTGCATGACTCGATGCTAAAGCCGTCAGTCTTCAGGTCAGTACCTGAAATGAACACAGACAGACCACTCCTTCACTACAACACAGTAAACCATTCCATGGAACCAGTCTTGTGCTTAGACAGACTCCATTATGCGTGCAGCATATGTCTAGATATGAGTAAAGTGTGTGTGTTTGTACAGAGAGTACATAGATACAAAAAGGCATGCATAGACATGCTCTTGAACATAAGGTACATGCACACAGAGGTATAAATACTATAAGAATGCAATGACAAAGACAAGTATAGACACAAGCATGGTGTTTGTGTAAGAATAGGACTCACGTTTGCCAATGATCCTGTTGAGGATGTTCATCAGTTCAGTGGGGCTGACCTCCATGTCCTATAATACACAGATAGTAAATCTTCATACACTGCATATGCCTACATGTATTTGGGTCACAACTCAGCTCACAAAAGGATAAGGACACTGAGACTACTTTATCATTAAGTAATACATGATAAGTCATTTGCACAGATGGACCAAATACATTGTTTTCTCTGTATTTGTGTGTTTACGTGACATACTAGATCAACCAAAGTGATGCAAACAACTTCAAAACTCTCAGCTCACAAAGGGATAAGGACACTGAGACTACTTTAATGAACATATGTTTTAGGAGTACAATCATGGACCAAATGCATCGTTTTCTCTGTATTTGTGTGTGACATATTAGAACCAAAATTATGGTAACAACTTTAAAACTTCAAGCAGATATATTTGCAGCAGGTATAGCTTTAGGTTTCATTCCATATGCATCTTGTGTTCCCTCCCCTTATGAGTAAGGCCTTAATGAGGTCGGCTAGTCATCAGTTGAAAGTGAACCACTGCCAGACGAGTGCCCAGAAGAACATGCAATACATGTATCCAAACCCAACTACATGACTCACACAGCCTCCACCCCCACCCACACAAAACTAACCAGGCAGGAGTCAGACAATGGTAGGTATGCAGAGAGAGGAGGAACCAGTCTCTCTTCCTGCTGCCTGTGGAATAAACCAGTTTTTGGGTTGTCAAAAACCACACCATCAGCTTCTTACTCCACCACTGCCTGATCCACCACTGCGTGATCCAATAGCATACAGTAGCTGTAGAGAAGGGGAACATATGTGGAGCCTGGGCTAGTACACATGACCAGAACCAAAGGGGGCGGAATCAATGATTTAAGCCAACAGGAAGTCTTTACTGTACTCTACTAAAGGGCTTCTATTGGTTGGCAGCAGCGAATGACAGACAGTACATTAGAAGCATAATTTCCAACATCTTTGGGTGGCTGGATGAACCACATTCTGAAGACTGGCTCCAGATGAAAGAGGGTGAATGGGTGGAGGGAGGGGTTTGGAATGCAAACCAGACTTAACTGGGATACAACAGGCGACAACAGGGTTTCACTGATTGTACCAGTGTACCATCAGCCAATAAATGAAATACCATCCATGCCATGGATAGTTGGCTGCACCTACTTCAAAAGATAATATGCCACAAACAAATCTGTAACTTAATTAACACTGGTCGTTGGTCTGCTCTCTATTACAATAAACCACTAACGGTTGGTTAATGTAAATTATTTTACCAACTGTGTGTTGTCCTTGTGGAAATCCACATAATGAAACAGCCTCTTTAAAACATTCAACAAGAGGCCTGATTATACAATGACACACTTATAGCACTGTATTTGATGGCCGAAAGCCTAAGATGAACATCTCTCAATGACTCATAGCTAGAACTGACTTGACTTATCTGAGTTCTTTACTTTAAACAAATCAAATATGATTTGTCACATGCTTCGTAAACAGCAGGTGTAGACTAACAGTGGCATGCTTACTTAGGGGTCCTTTTCCAACAATGCAGAGTTAAAGATAAAGATGAAAAAACATATATAATACACAGTGAATAACAAATAACAATATTGAGTACAAAATAATGGCTATATACAGGGAATAACATGATAGGAAAGAGGATAGGAAAGGACAGTAGGTTTGGAGATGAATAGGATAAGATATGAGAGTAGTAGAAGTGCATAAGTTGAATAACAATAAGTCCTTACATCCCCAGCGAGTTGCTGGAACACCTTGCGGAACTGTGCCTCCTCGTCATTCTCCTTCGGTTTAGCATAGGCCAGAGGTCTGCGTGGTGGGGGCTAGGACACAAACACAGACCAGGTTCTGTTAACACTAACACTCACAGCCCTCTTCACTGCAGTCTGACATGCAGGCCAACAACAGTTGTGGCTCATTTGCTCAAAAGAGTAGTGTTTACTTCTAAAACTTTCCAATCCGCAGAGATCATAAGACTATGACGGTATTCTGAGATGTTATAAAGGGTGTTAAAGGGTTAACTCACAGGCTCTGAGGGCACAAATTGACTGGGGTCAACATTGCTGTTGGAGAAAACCAGATGGACCATTGTCTATTAGTATTTAATAACTACTGAGAGTGCAACGTCATTAATTAAGTCAGTAACCTGACAGTGTGTGTGTGTGTGTGTGTCAAAAGGAGCCGGGACTACCTCACAACATCCAGGATGCCACCAATTAGTTTTTTGGCTAGAAACATCTTGATGAGGAACTTCAGGTGAAAATCTACAAAAGGAGCCTAGAAAGAAAAAATAATTATAAGAGTTTGATCATTAAACATCTGATGAAGATCAATTTGTCCACTTTAAACAAAAAGGGGACAACAGAGAGAGAAAGCAAGATATATACATTTTGTCCACCTGTAATAAATGTGTTATTAGTGTTGGGGCTCCCTCTGAAAACTTTGCTCCCTGGCCTGTATTGGTAAGCAGCACAAACAGCAGATGTCAAAAGTGACGAAGAAGACAAAACAAATCAACGTGAAACAGAGAGATACACTTGTGAAGGCAATCTGATTGCCTTAAATTGAGAATAATACTTACAGCGACCAATGTGTTGCTGAAGTCGGCAGAGACTGATGTGATGGCACTCATACAGGGTACAAAAACCAGCTTTGCAAGTTATATTCAGAGCCCTTCGTATTCTACCTCAGTAATTGCGCTCCACACCCATGCCTAGGGAGCACCTTAGGGAAATACAGGTCTGGAATGACTCTGGGTCCTATAATCCGTAGAATTACGATAAGAATGACTGGCATTTGCCTAATAATTATATTACCGACACTGAAACCTATTCTAAAGGACACTTTTAAGGACACTTTTAAGGACACTTTTAAGGACACTTTTACTAAACTTTTATTATGTATGATTCACATTGATTTAACATAATGAGGTAATGAGGGTACACCGGCCTTGTGGTGTAATGTTAATGTTGAGCAGTGACGTAGGGGGCAAGGTGGTCACGGGGTGAAGTCGGAAGCCTATAGGGATGTTATAGCAAGCGTGTGTGTTTAATAAACGCCTTTTATAACTTTATATTAAACAGTATAAACGCACAGAAGTAGTCCGTGTCTTCATAAAGTAACCTACACGACAGGTTCATTGATTTACTGATGCAGTTTTACAAATTATTTCATGTAATTTCTATGCCCTAATAAATGTTAGTTAGAATGGCATTTTTCCATTCGGACTAAGATTTATTTGCCTAACCTACAAATTGAATGGAATATTGATGTCTGAAACGAAGGGAAACGTTCGAAAAAGAAGAAGCTACACTGCATGAACTTGTCCAATAAGAACGTTCAATGTCGTTCCCCTGTTAAAAACGTTTTCTACCGTTTGGTGTCCACTGAAGACCGCCTACATGGTGACGTCAGCCCAAAGTTACCACATCCACAAAGTCATAATTATGGCTAAACCCCGCCTATTTCTACAATTTATCTTCTTAAAATCTGATTTGAAACTCAACCTTCATCTTAACCACACTGCTAACATTATGCCTAACCCTAATCTTACATTAAGACAAAACATACATTTGTATTTTCATACGTTTTTACGATATAGCCAATTGTGACTTTGTGTCTGTATTAACTAGTGACAACCAGGCAGGAGTGCTTGGTACAAATGGCGAGCGCCATGAAACATGGTTACTGACGGGGGACTTGACAGAAGTGCTATTTGTATACATTTGTATTCACTTTACATGCCTGTTACATGAAGTGTCAGAGCCGGGTAAATGGATCTTAAACGTCAACAGTGTAAGTTGCCTTGTCTTCTTGTGCGTAGCACTAGTATCATGTCCTACCAAAACATAATCGGTAGATACTTGGAGCTTGTTTAGGACATTCTCTATTTAGCCAGATTAATCTATTTCAATAGTTGATATACTATCGCAATCTACAGAAGGAGGCATTGAGAAAACACTTGCCTTGCTTTAGTTTTACTTTCTGGAAAGGTTGCATTGCATGGCTTGCTACAATGTAACAACAACAATGTACCATTGTAACAGCACTCCATCACTCTCCTTGGTAAAATAGCCCTTACACAGCCTGGAGGTGTGTTGGGTCATTGTCCTGTTGAAAAACAAATGAAAGTCCTACTAAGCCCAAACCAGATGGGATGGCGTATCGCTGCAGAATGCTGTGGTAGCCATGCTGGTTAATTGTGCCTTTAATTCTAAATGAATCACAAACAGTGTCACCAGCAAAGCACCTGCACACCATAACACCTCCTCCTCCATGCTGTACGGTGGGAAATACACATGCAGAAATCATCTGTTCACCCACAGCGCATCTCACAAAGACACGGCGGTTGGAACCAAAAATCTCCAATTTGGATTCCAGACCAAAAAACACATTTCCACCTGTCTAATGTCCATTGCTCATGTTTCTTGGCCCAAGCAAGTCTCTTCTTCTTATTGGTGTCCTTTAGAAGTGAAGGCCTGATTCACACAGTCTCCTCTGAACAGTTGAGTTGATGTTGAGATGTGTCTGTTACCAGTGGCGGCTCCTGAAAAAATTCTCAGGGGGGGCAATTTTTCTGATGATTTAGGTGACCTACACACATTTAAAAAAAGATATGTCCAGCAACAACATGAAGACAGGGGCAGCATATAAGTCAATGCCAGAAGCATTTATTGACTGATCTCAAAACTGTTGGCTTACAAAAGCAAAATAAGTTATCACAGTAAAAATAATCAAGGTGTCACGCCCTGGCTCTGGGGACACTGTTATGTTGAGCCAGGGTGTGTAGATCTATGTTCCCTATTTCTATGTTGGCCTGAGTGACTCCCAATCAGAGGCAACGAGTGTCAGCTGTTTGCTGGTTGTCTCTGATTGGGAGCCATATTTAAACTGTCGGGTTTTCCTTTGGTTTTGTGGGTTCTTGTTTCAAGTTGGTTTAGTTTGACCGTGAACTGTCACGTTACCGTCTTTGTTGTTTTGATCGTGTTTTCGCTCAATAAAGAGTATGTTTGCCTGCAACGCTGCGCCTTGGTCCTCATCTGTTCCTGACGATCGTGACACAAGGGTGTTCTTTCACATTCCTCAACACTGCATAAACAATATGCATTTCCATAAACAAATGAAATATCAGCTGAAAATACAGCATCTTGTTATTTGTTCAGATTGCAGGATCAACAAGAGCTTTTACCACATTTTTTGCCTCATGGTTGAATTGGAAATATGTGCACCTGAGCATAATTCACAACAAGCAAGCAGGAGCTTTTGATAGAGGCTACTGAAAACATTGATGCAAGTTATTGGTAATAAGAAATTTTTATAGACTTCCATATTCTGCCCTCTTGTATAGATTTGTGAAAATGAACAGTGATAGACATTTTGCCTGAAAACAGAATTTGAAAATAATTTCTAGAAAAGGTAAACACAGCTATCTGTATGGCTTTGTAAAAATGAACAACCATATTCTGGCCAATTGTATAGATTTGTAAATATGAACAACCATATTCTGGCCAATTGTATAGATTTGTAAAAATGAACATGAACAGATTATTATTTTTTTTTTTACTTTTTTTAAAATGAAAAATAACTATTTTAAACAACATCAACTGTGAACTGATTTGGGCGTGTGTGTGTTAAAGAGACAGACAGGGAGGGACAAAGAGAGAGAGAGGCTACATTACTTGTACTGAAACTGTTCTCTTCTCTCTTTCAATGCAGCAAAGCGGTCAATGACTTTCTCATTGAAATCAGGCATGCTGAGGACTAGTTCCCTCTCCATGGAAAGCATGGCCAGTGCATTCAGACGTTCCTGGCCCATTGAATTTAGCAGGAATGTCTTAACTCGTGTCAAAGTTGAGAAACATCTCTCAGCTTCAGCTGTTGTCATGGGAGTAGTTATGAGGATGTTCAACAGAGTCACAGTCTCAGAGAACGTCTCCTGGAGGTTGTAGCTCATGAGAACCTGGTACAGTGCCAGTGCACCACAGTTTGACTTTCTCGTCGTCGGCAAAAAGACTGTTCAGTCTCTCCAAAAGCACACTGGCGATTGAGACTGAGGTTGATTCCGAGATGGGAAGGAACTCAAAAAAGCGCTCCTGCACTTTGTGGTTGCTATCTATGTACCTCAGCACAAGCACCAGCTGTGTCTGTGTAGAAACGTCCGTGGTCTCGTCAGCTTGGATAGCTACGAAGTTCGCCGACTTCACCTCCTCCACAATATGTTCCCTCATGACCGCTAGCATACACTCCAGTAGCTCGTTTTGAATGGTCTTTGATGTGAACTTCTTTCAAAGAGACAATCGAGTTGCACTGAACGCTAGCCATCTTGATAGTAGTACGTGAATTGATTGACGCTGCTACCCGCTCTTTTCTTAGTTACGTTCATGGTTATGTTACGTATGACGAAAGCGCGTAAGTGCAAGCCCTCAGAAACCCATAGAGATTGTATTGAAAGCTCTGATATTTGAAAAAAAAAGATTTTACATGAGAGTCTATGAGATACTTCTGGGGCGATTTTCAACCTGACTGAAATCGCCCCAAAAGGGGCGGGGCCATTTGAAGCACGACTTTAGCCTGATTGGACATTTAGTGGCAGATCAGACGTCTAGATTAGAACACTGATAACTACTGTTGCCGTGATATAATTGATTAGAAAAAAAATCCCTTCCTTTTCCCGTTTGGCAGTGCGTCGCCCATATCGCCCTAATGAACACACCGCCCCTGTCTGTTACTTGAACTCTGTGAAGCATTTATTTGTGCTGCAATTTCTGAGGCTGGTAACTCTAATTAACTTATCCTCTGCAGGCGAGGTAACTCTGGGTCTTCCATTCCTGTGGTCGGTCCTCATGAGAGCCAGTTTCATCATAGCGCTTGATGGTTTCTGCGACTGCACTTGAAGAAACTTTCAAAGTTTTCCGTATTGACTGACCTTCATGTCTTAAAGTAATGATGGACTGTCGTTTCTCTTTGCTTATTTGAGCTGTTCTTGCCATAATATGGAATTGGTCTTTTACCAAATAGGGCTATCTTCTGTGTTATTTCATAGTTTTGATGTCTTCACTATTATTCTACAATGTAGAAAATAGTTAAAATAAAGATAAAACCCTTGAATGAGTAGGTGTGTCCAAACTTTTGACTGGTACTGTATATATATATATATATATATATATATATATATATATATATATATATTTCCTGAGCTTTGTTATATCTCCTAGATATAGGACAGACACTTCATAATCTTGTTTCTTCTTATTTATTTTTTGACTGTCCTTTTTGAC